ACACACACACACACACACACATATATATATAAAAGCCCAGCGATTGGAAAGGCGGAATGACCAGAACGACCGGTACTGCAACAGACAACCAGTCTGATCTGGGCCCCAATCAGACCTCCCCTGGCACCAGTCCAGCCCCCAATCAGCCCCCAACACCCCGATTGGGGGCAGGGCCAGCCAGCCAACCGCCCGCAGCCCCTAACCCCTGCCGGCCTGGCCTGATGGGGCCCCATCCATGCACGAATTCGTGCACCAGGCCTCTAGTACTGATATAAAGTGCTTCATTAGCACAGTCCTTGGCACACAGTAGGAACCCAATAAACAGCACAAATAATTATGAGTAAGAACGTAAGTTGGAATAAAAATTCATGGGAAAATTACAATTCATTTACTATCTGTCATGTTCTACTTAGCATTATCAATTATTATCCAAAAGAAAGCAAAATATACAAAATATGAACTTACAACAGATATCAAACAGAATAATTTTACTTAAAATGTTTACAAATGCTTAAGAATATTACCCATACACATAAATGGAAGCAGTTTTTTTTATTATTAAGTGTGGTATTCAGGTTAGAAAAAGTACCTCTCAAAGCGGATTTCAGGCCCAAAAGGCCTGAGCTACATCTGTCTGATTGGTGTGTAACTATCACACTGAAAAGAAAAATCAAGCACAGCGAATGGCAAACACATAGTAAGTGTTCTATATATAGTTGATAAAATTCTTTTAGTCAATTCTCCTATATTGACTGCCTACTTTCTCCAGTTTGCTTTCTAATCATCATCAGTTCACATATTTCTTAGGAAAGCTTTTTTTTTTGTCTCCCTTACCCTTGTCTCAAAAAGTCAAAGCCCCATTACAATTTTCTATAATACTCTGTGTACTCGTTAACAAGGAATTAATTGCTTGTTCAATGTCTGACTGGCTCCACCATTAGAATGTTCCACAGGGGAAGGGAGCTGGCCTGTCTTGTTGACAGCTATATCTTTATTACCTCTCACAAGTCTAGCACAAAGTAACTGTTCAATAAACATCAACTGTAGCATCTCAATGGTAAATTCAAAAATTATGGAGCAAAACTAGAGGAATATGTTTTAACATATTATCTAATGAGAGCATTTTCTTTCTTTTTTTTTATGAGAGCATTTTCTATCATCACAGCTGGGCAACCAGAAGCTAGTCCAGCAACTGGGAGTCAAGTTAAGAAGAGGGATTCAAGTAGCAGGTGAAGTGTTTAAACATCACAACTTTGAAAGTCCTTTGCAATCCTGAACATTTTGGGCACACCATTTACCAAACATGTTACATCCCTTCCTGCCTTCCTGTGCTTCTTCCTCCTCCTCCACTTGGTGAACTATTCATCCTTCAAGACCCAGCTCAAAGACCACCACTATGAAAGATAGAAAAAAGGAGAGGTCCCTCCTATATTCATCAAAAGATAAAGGAACAAATTAATATCTGCCTCTTCTACTAGAAAATGAGCTCTTCAAGGGTGGAGACCATGCCATATCCACCTGTGAAGTTTCTTCTATGCCTAGAACAGTTGCCGATACATTATGGAAGATGCTCAAATGCAGACGAACTAAACAGAAAACACAAGCCTGCCTCTAGATCACAGTCTGGGGGAAGACAGTCACAGAATCAGAAAGTCTAGCTCTAAAAGTGTGTGGAAGCTATAAATGAGAAAATCTGATCTGAAACACCAGAGTTTAGAAGCTGCTAAAAGTAACTGAGATGCTGAAAAGGCTCACCTCAGAGCAACTTTAAAGCCTTTCTACATAAAGACACTGGGAATCAAGAAAGCTGTGGAGAGATGCCAGGTAATGAGGAAATAACTCATCATTCCACATAGGTTCAATATTAAACATCCTGCCAGAAGTAAAACTGAGAATAAACACTGATTTAATATAAACTGACTCAAAAATAGGACAAAAGGACTGGAAGGCAAAGTAGTATAATGATAAAATTAGACCTCTCCTAATTCTAGTCCAAATCATTTTTAGCTTAGTTATATGACTTCAAGCAAGTCATGCCCTATTCTGGACCTCAGATTCTGGACATTAAATGAAAGGACTCTACTAGAGTATCAAGGAAGAACAAAGCCCAGTGCATTTTTTAAAATATTTTTTTTTATTTATTTCAGAGATGAAGGGAGAGGGAGAAATAGAAACATCAATATAAGAGAGAATCATTGATCGACTGCCTCCTGCATGCCCCCCCACTGGGGATGGAGCCCACAACCTGGGCAGGTTGCCCGACCAGGAATCGAACTGTGACCTCCTGGTTCACAGGTCGACGACCCACCACTGAGGCACACTGGCTGAGCCCAATGCATTTTTTTGAAAACAAACAACATTCTGAACTCAGAGTAACTAGATAAAATACAAAGAAAGGGTGACTTAAAAAAAAAGAAAATCCTAAGAATAGTTAAACTGGCTGGCCATCTATTACTTTTATCTGCCTAGCAACCATGCCCCCCTTCTTCTGTTAATGGCATCCTGATTTTTCTTTGGAGACTTATCCCTTTAACACTTTCAGTCCATATGACCCAAGAAGGATGGATCCTAATCTTAATAAATAGGGATTAACAACAGCATCTACCTTACAGGTCTGTCAAATGAGATAGTGAATGTAAAGGCTTTGCACATTATTTGACAAAGTCAGAGCTCAACATATGTGAGCTATTACTAACTAATCCCTAGGGATAATCCAATCCAGTGCTGTGTCTGTGGTAGCAAAGAGCATATTATAGGAGGGTAACTATTGACCTATTCATGATGTCGCCCTCAAAGACCTGGGATGAAACATCACTAATGTCACTTTAGTATATACTATAATTTTATTTATTTACCTGAGAGTGTGTATCAGTGAGTGTGTGTGTGTGTGTGTGTCAGAGAGAAAGAGAGAGAGAGAGAGAGAGAGAGAGAGAAATACTTTAATTTGTTGTTCCACTAATTTATGCATTCGTTGGTTGCTTCTTTTATGTGCCCTGACAAGGGATGGAACCTGCAACCTGGGCATATCGGGACGACACTCTAACCAGCTGTACTACCCAGTCATGGCCATGCTGTGATTCTTGAATCCTTTTTATATGTTGAGACTGTAAATTACTTGATGCCATGATCCCAGGTGTATGCTACCTCCTGAGGAGAGGAGGACTCTTTATATTTGCCTTAAAACAAATTCCTTTCATAGTCACAAAGAGCACTGATTATGGAATTCAGAAAGTATGTCTAAAATCCACCCACCAGCCCTGAGACCACTGGCTAATAATGTTGTCTCTGGTTTTACAGATCACCATTAGAGCATGAGGCCTGAGAAGATATGGAGAACAATGCTAATCCCACCTCCTGATGATAAAGTCCATGGAATGGCTAGATCTGGTGACCATCCCCAGGATCTCACCCAGATTCTCAGGAAACAGATCTAGCTAGCAAAATGATTCTCAACCAGAAGAATGCAAATCACTGCTAGAAGTAACCCCAATGTGTGTTCAATTCAACACAAAGGCTATCAGAGTTGTTCAGTAAAAAGCAGACTCCTAAGCCACATAAATACACAAACATACTCACAAAACCATCTGCCTTACAGATTACAACACATTAAACAGATTAGGAAATATTCTGAAAAATCCAGGGCCCTGGCTGGTGATTTAAATTACTTTAAAATGGGATAAAAAAGAAACAGATATATCAACAAGTCTGCATGCTCATAAGTCATCTAAAATCTAGTGCAAAGTTTATATTCACTTACCACATTTTAACTTAGAAGACAGATGCCTGGTGAAAAGGACATTGGTCTGAGTTAGAGCTGGATTCAAATCCCAGATTTTCCACTATCTTTGTTTAATTAACTACTTTATGCCTAGTACACACACACACACACACACACACACACACACACACACATATATATATAAAAGCCCAGCGATTGGAAAGGCGGAATGACCAGAACGACCGGTACTGCAACAGACAACCAGTCTGATCTGGGCCCCAATCAGACCTCCCCTGGCACCAGTCCAGCCCCCAATCAGCCCCCAACACCCCGATTGGGGGCAGGGCCAGCCAGCCAACCGCCCGCAGCCCCTAACCCCTGCCGGCCTGGCCTGATGGGGCCCCATCCATGCACGAATTCGTGCACCAGGCCTCTAGTACTGATATAAAGTGCTTCATTAGCACAGTCCTTGGCACACAGTAGGAACCCAATAAACAGCACAAATAATTATGAGTAAGAACGTAAGTTGGAATAAAAATTCATGGGAAAATTACAATTCATTTACTATCTGTCATGTTCTACTTAGCATTATCAATTATTATCCAAAAGAAAGCAAAATATACAAAATATGAACTTACAACAGATATCAAACAGAATAATTTTACTTAAAATGTTTACAAATGCTTAAGAATTTTACCCATACACATAAATGGAAGCAGTTTTTTTTATTATTAAGTGTGGTATTCAGGTTAGAAAAAGTACCTCTCAAAGCGGATTTCAGGCCCAAAAGGCCTGAGCTACATCTGTCTGATTGGTGTGTAACTATCACACTGAAAAGAAAAATCAAGCACAGCGAATGGCAAACACATAGTAAGTGTTCTATATATAGTTGATAAAATTCTTTTAGTCAATTCTCCTATATTGACTGCCTACTTTCTCCAGTTTGCTTTCTAATCATCATCAGTTCACATATTTCTTAGGAAAGCTTTTTTTTTTGTCTCCCTTACCCTTGTCTCAAAAAGTCAAAGCCCCATTACAATTTTCTATAATACTCTGTGTACTCGTTAACAAGGAATTAATTGCTTGTTCAATGTCTGACTGGCTCCACCATTAGAATGTTCCACAGGGGAAGGGAGCTGGCCTGTCTTGTTGACAGCTATATCTTTATTACCTCTCACAAGTCTAGCACAAAGTAACTGTTCAATAAACATCAACTGTAGCATCTCAATGGTAAATTCAAAAATTATGGAGCAAAACTAGAGGAATATGTTTTAACATATTATCTAATGAGAGCATTTTCTTTCTTTTTTTTTATGAGAGCATTTTCTATCATCACAGCTGGGCAACCAGAAGCTAGTCCAGCAACTGGGAGTCAAGTTAAGAAGAGGGATTCAAGTAGCAGGTGAAGTGTTTAAACATCACAACTTTGAAAGTCCTTTGCAATCCTGAACATTTTGGGCACACCATTTACCAAACATGTTACATCCCTTCCTGCCTTCCTGTGCTTCTTCCTCCTCCTCCACTTGGTGAACTATTCATCCTTCAAGACCCAGCTCAAAGACCACCACTATGAAAGATAGAAAAAAGGAGAGGTCCCTCCTATATTCATCAAAAGATAAAGGAACAAATTAATATCTGCCTCTTCTACTAGAAAATGAGCTCTTCAAGGGTGGAGACCATGCCATATCCACCTGTGAAGTTTCTTCTATGCCTAGAACAGTTGCCGATACATTATGGAAGATGCTCAAATGCAGACGAACTAAACAGAAAACACAAGCCTGCCTCTAGATCACAGTCTGGGGGAAGACAGTCACAGAATCAGAAAGTCTAGCTCTAAAAGTGTGTGGAAGCTATAAATGAGAAAATCTGATCTGAAACACCAGAGTTTAGAAGCTGCTAAAAGTAACTGAGATGCTGAAAAGGCTCACCTCAGAGCAACTTTAAAGCCTTTCTACATAAAGACACTGGGAATCAAGAAAGCTGTGGAGAGATGCCAGGTAATGAGGAAATAACTCATCATTCCACATAGGTTCAATATTAAACATCCTGCCAGAAGTAAAACTGAGAATAAACACTGATTTAATATAAACTGACTCAAAAATAGGACAAAAGGACTGGAAGGCAAAGTAGTATAATGATAAAATTAGACCTCTCCTAATTCTAGTCCAAATCATTTTTAGCTTAGTTATATGACTTCAAGCAAGTCATGCCCTATTCTGGACCTCAGATTCTGGACATTAAATGAAAGGACTCTACTAGAGTATCAAGGAAGAACAAAGCCCAGTGCATTTTTTAAAATATTTTTTTTTATTTATTTCAGAGATGAAGGGAGAGGGAGAAATAGAAACATCAATATAAGAGAGAATCATTGATCGACTGCCTCCTGCATGCCCCCCCACTGGGGATGGAGCCCACAACCTGGGCAGGTTGCCCGACCAGGAATCGAACTGTGACCTCCTGGTTCACAGGTCGACGACCCACCACTGAGGCACACTGGCTGAGCCCAATGCATTTTTTTGAAAACAAACAACATTCTGAACTCAGAGTAACTAGATAAAATACAAAGAAAGGGTGACTTAAAAAAAAAGAAAATCCTAAGAATAGTTAAACTGGCTGGCCATCTATTACTTTTATCTGCCTAGCAACCATGCCCCCCTTCTTCTGTTAATGGCATCCTGATTTTTCTTTGGAGACTTATCCCTTTAACACTTTCAGTCCATATGACCCAAGAAGGATGGATCCTAATCTTAATAAATAGGGATTAACAACAGCATCTACCTTACAGGTCTGTCAAATGAGATAGTGAATGTAAAGGCTTTGCACATTATTTGACAAAGTCAGAGCTCAACATATGTGAGCTATTACTAACTAATCCCTAGGGATAATCCAATCCAGTGCTGTGTCTGTGGTAGCAAAGAGCATATTATAGGAGGGTAACTATTGACCTATTCATGATGTCGCCCTCAAAGACCTGGGATGAAACATCACTAATGTCACTTTAGTATATACTATAATTTTATTTATTTACCTGAGAGTGTGTATCAGTGAGTGTGTGTGTGTGTGTGTCAGAGAGAAAGAGAGAGAGAGAGAGAGAGAGAGAGAGAAATACTTTAATTTGTTGTTCCACTAATTTATGCATTCGTTGGTTGCTTCTTTTATGTGCCCTGACAAGGGATGGAACCTGCAACCTGGGCATATCGGGACGACACTCTAACCAGCTGTACTACCCAGTCATGGCCATGCTGTGATTCTTGAATCCTTTTTATATGTTGAGACTGTAAATTACTTGATGCCATGATCCCAGGTGTATGCTACCTCCTGAGGAGAGGAGGACTCTTTATATTTGCCTTAAAACAAATTCCTTTCATAGTCACAAAGAGCACTGATTATGGAATTCAGAAAGTATGTCTAAAATCCACCCACCAGCCCTGAGACCACTGGCTAATAATGTTGTCTCTGGTTTTACAGATCACCATTAGAGCATGAGGCCTGAGAAGATATGGAGAACAATGCTAATCCCACCTCCTGATGATAAAGTCCATGGAATGGCTAGATCTGGTGACCATCCCCAGGATCTCACCCAGATTCTCAGGAAACAGATCTAGCTAGCAAAATGATTCTCAACCAGAAGAATGCAAATCACTGCTAGAAGTAACCCCAATGTGTGTTCAATTCAACACAAAGGCTATCAGAGTTGTTCAGTAAAAAGCAGACTCCTAAGCCACATAAATACACAAACATACTCACAAAACCATCTGCCTTACAGATTACAACACATTAAACAGATTAGGAAATATTCTGAAAAATCCAGGGCCCTGGCTGGTGATTTAAATTACTTTAAAATGGGATAAAAAAGAAACAGATATATCAACAAGTCTGCATGCTCATAAGTCATCTAAAATCTAGTGCAAAGTTTATATTCACTTACCACATTTTAACTTAGAAGACAGATGCCTGGTGAAAAGGACATTGGTCTGAGTTAGAGCTGGATTCAAATCCCAGATTTTCCACTATCTTTGTTTAATTAACTACTTTATGCCTAGTTCCTGAAATGGGGCAAAAATAACCATCTTGTTCAATATGCATTTGGAGACTATACAAAAATCACCTACTTTGTGGAAAGTGATCGATAAGTCTAGGAAATTTCTTTAACTCAAAGAAAGATCCAGTTGACAAGCTTTTCTCCAATAGGCATTTGGCAAAAAGAAAAATATCAGTGACTCCTCAATCTGTGAATACAGTGACAGGTTAAAAAGTTACTTATCTTTTTCTTTATTTACTATTTTGACTATAAAAGTATGTATTTACACAAAATAATTTTAAAATTTGAGTACCCATTTTTTTTTTTTACAAATGTGAACAAATTTTATGGGTAATGCCAGTAAACAAATTCAAGCCTCAAACACTAGCTAATTGTAATCTACAATATGTCTTTTACAAAAATAGGTAAATGTTATTCTAGGAATGTTTTAAATTAATTTGACAGTAGGAAGGCAGCATGGTTTAATAAAGACCTGGATCCTGGTCAGGGATCGACAACCACTCAGTCTATTTTGAAGCCTCAGCAGCCCACAGGCAAAATTAAGGTGAGGCCCTTAAAAGGTAAAATTCTACAACTGTAATAAAAAAATCATATCTTTCCACCAAACAGAAATTATACACACAAATATCCTTCATGATCTGCCACTCCAACTTTATCTCTTGCTTCTCGTCCTACTCCACCCTACAGTGTACTAGTATACTCCATCCATACCGAACAATAGGCATATGTTGTTTTATTGCACTTTGCTTTATTGAGCTTCAGAAAGGTTGCCTTTTTTAGAAATTGAAGGCAAGACCCCACACACAGACCAGCAAAAAGATGGTGACTCGTTTTATTGTGATGCTGGCTTTATTGTGGTGCTCTGGAACCAAACCAGCCATATTTCCGAGGTATGCCTGTACAATTAGCTCCCTGAATTCAACATCTTCTTTAGCCTCCATTCATTTGCACATACTGTTTTTTCCACCTGAGCCAACTCTCATTCACCATTCTGATGTCGGGACTCAGGTCAAGTTTCTAACCCTTCCCCTCCCTCCCCACACACAATCAAGTCCAAGTTAGGCACTACAGATACAATAACTGAAGCTACTGGATTTTCAGGAACCTTTCAAAAGAAAAGGGGAAAAAAATGGTTTTAAAATCCAAGAAAAATAAAACAGACCTGCAAATTTGAAATTAAAATGTTTTACTAGTAATTAAATATGAGGTATAATATTATTTCACCCAGTCAACTATAATTCGTTTTATATACTGTAATTTTAAATGCGAGATATAAAATGAAGCAGAGGTTCCAGAAGGAAGTCAAGGGTCTAAAAGGATTTTGAAACTGCTCTGGTTAATTAGTCATCCCTACACTATGCTCCCACAGTTCCCCGTGCTTCCCATAACACTGATCATGATCAGGGCCACTGATTGTGAATTCAGATTCTAGAGAGAGTTGTTTTCCATAATCCCCAACAAAAAGCTAAAAATCTTTACCCAGGATTTGTACTGATATACAACAGTCATTCACTGGTCCTTTCTGGACCAACCAGCTCTGGTCATTTGTATCAGTTCCCCATTTGCTTTGTCTCCCCTAATTATGATAGGTCCCCAATGAAATTCTGTATCCTTCCTTCAGTCAGATCTGGTCTCAGCCTTATCTATATCTACAGTCCCAGGGCTGAAACATGTCCCAGGATCCCAGGAACAATTGCTCAGTAAATGTTGAGAAATTACTTCTTTCTCCAGAAAGCAATAGTACTACACCACTATGAATTTCTTGCAAAAATATCAGTTCTAAGAGAAAATAACAGTTCACTATTCTCTGCCTTTAAAGTCTAGAAAGAGTGATATCCAATAGAAATTCCTACAGCGGAAATGTTCTTTGTCCAATATGGTAGGCCTCTAGCCACATGTGGGTACTGAGCACTTGGAATGTGCATACTGTGTCTGAGGAACTGAATTTTGTAAAAAGTATTTTTACTGATTTTTGTCGAGAGAGGAAGGGAGAGGGAGAGAGATAGAAACATCGATATGAGAGCAAAACATCAATCAGCTGCCTCCTGCATGCCCCCTATGGGGGAGATCAAGCACAAAACCCCGGCAAGAATCCAACCTGTGACTTTTCAGTATACAAAACGATGCACAACCAACTGAGCCACACTAGCCAGGGTGAGACACTGAATTTTTAACTTTATTTAATTTTAATTAATTAAGGTAGCCACATAAGGCCAGGGGCTATTACAAAGGACAAGGTAAAACTAGAAAGAAGTCTTCCATTCTGCTAAATTTGTTATGTCACCTTTTGGACTCTGTTGCAGCTTTAAAGAAAATGAACTATGGAAATACATATGCTAGTGTTACTTATTATCCAATTTATAAGTGTATCAGTTGTTATCAGAAAAATATTTCCATCAGTTTTCAAATACAATCACTTATTCCTTCAAATGTTAGGTACCTGCCCACAATGTAGCAGGCCCTGGGCATGGAAGATACAAGACTGACCCTACTATCAGAGAATGAACAGACAAAAATTAAATATAGAGTACAATATGAATATATTTAATGCCACTGAACTGTACACTTAAAATGATTAAAAAGGTAAAATTTATATTACATATATATTATTAAAATTAAAACAGATGTAAGCCAAATAAAGTAAAGATAGTGAAATAAATAATAACTTTTTTAAAAAATTAACTGTAGAGAGTGAATGATGGACAGATAGATTGAGACAGATGGACAAGATGCAACTGGAATGCAATGCAGAGTAGTAAGAGCATAAATTTTGATATGAGAATAGGTTTGAATCCTGACACCATCACTTACTATATGTGTGTTAGCTTAGGAAGTGTCTTCACCTCTCTGAGCCAATTTCCTCATTTGTAGATTGTTGTGAGGATTCAGTGAGATGATACAGTTAGGTCAGTATATCACTATCAGTGAGCGAGCAGAAGCAGCAACCATGGGGTCAGGGGCATATGGAAGGAATAAGCATTCACCAGACAAACAGGCCTATTTGAGAAAGCCACATGTAAAAGGCATAAACAGAGAGAGGAAACATAATGTCACCTGGCAATTTGATTTGACAGGAACCCTAGCTAGGACCATATCATAAAGGGTTTTAACTGCCATTCAGGGGAGATTAGGGCTTTTTTCTATAGACAACAGTCACTGAGGAAAGAAAATAAATGTATACACCTAGGAAGTTTGTCAATACCAGTCCAACTCTGACTACTTCAATATAGAGGCTCCAAATTTCAACTAGTAAACTAAAAGCACAAGGAACTAAAAAAGAGAGACAAAAAAGAGCTTTGTGGGGGTAGCCAACATACATATGACAAACCATCCACAGCTCCTTAAATTCTAGGAACTCTTCTCATTTTCAAGGCCCTCCTCCAACTCCATCTTCCAGGCTCCTTTTGGTACAATGAATGGCTTGGATAGAGGCTGAGAAGGAATGGGGGAGAGGGGGTTGTTTTTGTTGTGGGTTTTGTTCCTTTGTTTTTGTTTTTTTGAGTAACAAACATTAACTAGCCAGACCATGGTCTGCCTTACAGCCAGGTTTACAGCCTGCAAGTTGTCCTAGACCCAAGCAGACACAGAAATACTTTTTCTTCCATTGGCTGAGCATTAAATTCACATCTGCCTCTTTCCTTTCTATCCAGTGAATGGGGTGCCACGTGGGCCATTAGCTTTTGCTTCTCACAGGCAACATGACAAACCATATCTTAGGAATAACAGAAAATGCTTTTCAATGCAGGGAGATAGAACCACAAGTCCATACAGCAAAAGCTGGCTGGCAGAGCTTCAAGTCATATTTCCCTTTCCCCATCTACAAATGTTAAGGTCACATTTTTAAAAGTGCAACAAAAACAATGCCCTTTTCCTAATGTTATTTTCTTAACATAAAATCTTAGGGGCAAATAAAAGGAGTGAAGGGGGGAAGCCAAGGATTCTCAATTATATAACCTATTGTGCCCACAAATTTGCTCAGCTTAAATGCCACTTACAAGAAGTGTCTACATTTCTATGGAAACATTAATAACTACCATCTGATCAACCTACATCACCTTTCATACAGTTTTTCAGGCTTCAGCCTTGAAACCAGACTGAAGGCAGAAAAGCCAACCCAAGATTATGATATATTTCAATTTTAAGACATTTTTAAAAAACAAAAACAGTACATAGCTTCAAGGCTGTGACTACAGAATCAGAAGGTGAAAACTGTTTAGGAAGGCAGTTTGGTTTGATGAGTCAGAGGTCATTAGTGTTTCTATGGAAATAGAGTAGAGGCATTTCTCAGAAAACTGCATGTACTGATGCCTCTGACACTTTTCATTTACAATTTCTGGTTCTCTGGAGTAACAAAAGGGGTTGTTCATAATTCTTCATTCAGCCTGGAGGTTAAAGAAATTTCAAAATGCACACATACAAGAAAATGTATAAAATAATCTATCAGCTGCCATTTATAAAATCCTTACTATATGCCAGGCATTGGTTTGACATTTTACATAAATCTTACTGAAAGTAGCTACCATTATATATGGTATTATATTCTATTACACAGAAAAAACCATAAAACTCAAAACAAGATAACTTCTATTTAGAGAAGTTTGGCTAATGAAATCCCACCTCTGCACAACACATGCTTTGCAACAGCCAAATAGATGAGAATCTGAAGTTAACCCTGACACTCTCCCAATAATAGGGCCTCAGAGTCTACAAATACCACATCTTAGATGAGTCCATTTACAAACCTCCTCCTGTTAGCTCATCTTCAATACCTTAGCATGACATGCAGAAGTAAACAAATTCAATATTTGAAAAGCTACTTTTTGCAATCTTTATTTCCCTGACATCTCCTGAAACTTGAAAAGAGTAATATGTAAAATCCTATTTCCAAATTTTAACTCATTATACAGAGATAAAAATGTCTATGACAACTTTGATGTTAAAGCAATTTTCTAATATTGAGACATTAATAAATTAATATACTAGGGTGGCAAGTCGCCGAACATAGCTTTGCTCTACTACAGTCAAACCTCCATTTCTGCAAGTGCAAATACTATGCCATTTCATACAAGAAACTTGAACAGCCACAGATTTTGGTATCCAAAGGGGATCCTGGAACCAATCCCCCATGGATATTAAGGGACCACTCTACTAATAAGCCATTTGTGTAATATTGTATGAGCTACTGTGCTCCATTTCCTCTTCAGTAAAAGGAGAAAGTCTGGTCAATTTTCTTAGAATTCTTTTCAGCTGGAAAGTCTATGAGTTTATCAAAAGTTGACAATTGTGTGTCCTAGAGGTAGAAATCATAATATTAGTACTTGAGGAACCCTTAAGATTCTTAGATTTTTTTTAACTAGAAGAAACCTTTTAGAGCACCCCTAATCTCTTTCCATTCCACCCCAACACTCATTTTACAGAAGGGAAAAATTGTGTAAAGGGAACATCTGCAGCGTCTCTCTGTGCCTTAAATACTAATCATGGTCTAAAGGCTGTGGCATTTTCCTAATCCAAAAATGGGAATAACAAATCGTACATACACATCACAGGACTATTGAGAGGATTAAATGAAATTTTAAAAATTTAAAGCACTCAAGAGAGTACCTGTCACACAGTAAATGTTCAATAAGGGTTAGCCATTATTATCATAGTTGGTGATGTCATTCTGATCTTCACCCTCCAAACCACAAGTATGTATAAGTTTACTTAGGATACAGAATTCTTGATTAAAAAATGTAGACCACTTTGTAGCCGCTCTAGAGAAGCTATTCCACTCTGTATAAGCACAGGGAATAGGATCTTTTATTAAGTCATCACTCAGTGCTATTAATCAGAG